ATCATAAGAAAAGATGAACTATTCAGTAGTTCAACTTCATGTTTCTCCTATTTGAATAAGCAAATGACCTAAGGTCATTTGCTTATTCAAATAGGAAAAACATGAAACTGTATTCATATCCTAAAAAAGAATTACAATTAAACTAAATACTTAATATGAAAACGAATTTATCAAGACAATATAGGAGAATATTTTTCTTCATACCCTGTTTTGAAAATAAGAATAAAAATGCAAATGTCTATAAGATCAGTAAATCAAGTTGTATTAAAATTAAGAACTTGGGTTTTTCATTAAGAATGAAAAGCAGGCCGGGCACGGTGGCTCACGCCTGTAATCCCAGCACTTTGGGAGGCCGAGGCGGGTGGATCACGAGGTCAAGAGATCGAGACCATCCTGGTCAACATGGTGAAACCCTGTCTCTACTAAAAATACAAAAAATTAGCTGGGCATGGTGGCGTGTGCCTGTAATCCCAGCTGCTCAGGAGGCTGAGGCAGGAGAATTGCCTGAACCCAGGAGGCGGAGGTTGCGGTGAGCAGAGATCGCGCCATTGCACTCCAGCCTGGGTAACGAGCGAAACTCCGTCTCAAAAAAAAAAAAAAAGAATGAAAAGCAACAGCACACCAGCTCTACTAAAGGACAGACTGCCTCCTCAAGTGGGCCTCTGAGCCCTGTGCCTTCTGACTGGGAGAAATCTCCCAGTAGAGGTCAACAGGCACCTCATATAGAAGAGCTTCAGGTGGCATCAGCCCAGAGCCCCTCTAGGATGAAGCTTCCAGAGAAAGGAGCAGGCAGCAATCTTTGCTGTTCTGCAGGCTCCACTGATGATACCCAGACAAACAGGATCTGGAGTGGACTTCCAGCAAACTGCAGCAGACCTGAAGAAGAGGGGCCTGACTGTTAGAAGAAAAACTAACAAACAGAAAGCAACAACATCAACATCAACATAAAGGACCCCACCCCCAACCCACAAAAACCCCATCCAAAGATCATCAGCCTCAAAGATCTAAGGTAGATAAATTCACGAAGATGAGGAAAAACCAGCGCAAAAAACACTGAAAATTGCAAAAGCTGGAATGCCTCTTCTCTTCCAAATGATCACAAGTCCTCTCTGGCAAAGGCACAGAACTGGATGGGGAATGAATTCGATAAACTAACAGAAGCTTCAGAAAGTGGGTAATAACAAACTCTTCTGAGCTAAGGGAACATGTTTTAACCCAATGCAGGGAAGCTAAGAACACTGATAAAAAGTTACAAGAACTGCTAATAAGAATAACCAGTTTAGAGAGGAACATAAATGGCCTATTGGAGGTGAAAAACACAGAATGAGAACTTTGTGTAGCATACAAAAGTATCAACAGCTGAACTGATCAAGTGGAAGAAATGATGTCAGAGATGGAAGATCAACTTACTGAAATAAAGCGTGAAGACGAGATTAGAGAAAAAAGAATAAAAAGGAATGAACAAAGCCTTCAAGAAATATGGAACTATGTGAAAAGCCCAAACGTATTTTATTGGCGTACCTGAAAATGACGGAAAAAATGGAACCAAGTTGGAAAACACACCTCAGGATATTATCAGGAGAACTTCCCCAACCTAGCAAGACAGGTCAACATTCAAATTCAGTAAATACAGAGAACACCTCTAAGATACTCCTCGAGAAACACAACCTAAAGACACATAATCATCAGATTCTCCAAGGCTGAAATGAAGAATAAAATGCCCTTGATGAACATCAATGCAAAAATCCTCAATAAAATACTGGCAAAATGAATCCAGCAGCTCAGCAAAATCTTATCCACCATGATCAAGTCAGCTGCATCCCTGGGATGCAAGGCTGGTTCAACATACGCAAACCAGTAAATATAATCCATCACATAAACAGAACCAATGACAAAAACCACATGATTACTCAATATATGCAGAAAAGGCCTTCAAGAAAATTCAGCATCCCTTCATGCTAAAAAGTCTCAATAAACTGGGTATTGATGAAACATAACTCAAAATAATAAGAGCTATTTATGACAAACCCATTGCAAACATCATACCGAATAGGCAAAAGCTGGAAGAATTCCCTTTGAAAAACCGGCACAAAACAAGGATGCTCTCTTTCGTCACTCCTATTCAACATAGTATTGGAAGTTCTGGCCATGACAATCAGGCAAGAGAAAGAAATAAAGTCTATTCAAATAGGAAGAGAGGATGTCAAATTGTCTCTGTTTGCAGATGACATGATTGTATATTTAGAAAATCCCATTGTCTTAGCCCAAAATCTCCTTAAGCTGATAAGCAACTTCAGCAAAATCTCAGGATACAAAATCAATGTGCAGAAATCACAAGCATTCCTATACACCCATAATAGAAAAACAGAAAGCCAAATCATGAGTGAACTCCCATTCAGAATTGCTACAAAGAGAATAAAATACCCAGGAATACAACTAACAAGGGATATGAAGGACTTCTTCAAGGAGAACTACAAACCACTTCTCAAGGAAATAAGAGAGGACACAAACAAATGGAAAAAAATTCCATGCTCATGAATAGGAAGAATCAATGTCATGAAAATGGCCATACTGTCCAAAGTAATTTATAGATTCAATGCTATTCTCATCAAGCTACCATTGACTTTCTTTGCAGAATTAGAAAAAAACTACTTTAAGTCTCATATAGAACCAAAAAAGAGCCAGTATAGCCAAGACAATCCTAAGCAAAAAGAACAATGCTGGAGTCATCATGCTACCTAACTTCAAACTATAGTGCAAAGCTACAGTAACAAAAACAGCATGGTACTGGTAGCAAAACAGACCAATGGAATGGAACAGAGACCTCAGAAATAACACCACATACCTACAACCATCTGATCTTCCACAAACCTGACAAAAACAAGTCTAAATGGGGAAAGGATTCCTTATTTAATAAATGGTGGTGGGAAAACTGGCTAACCATATGCAGAAAACGGAAACTGGATCCCTTTCTTACGCCTTATATCAAAATTAATCAAAGTTGTATTAAAGACTTAAACCCAAAGCCATAAAATCCCTAGAAGAAAACTTAGGCAATGCCATTCAGGATATAGGCATGGGCCAAGACTTCATGACTAAAACGCCAAAAGCAATTGCAACAGAAGCTAAAATTGACAAATGGGATCTAATTAAACTAAAGAGCTTCTGCACAGCAAAAGAAACTATCATCAGAGTGAACAGGTAACCTACACAACAGAAGAAAATTTTTGCAATCTACCCATCTGAGAAAGGCGTAGTATCTAGAATCTACAACGAACTTAAACAAATTTACAAGAAAAAAAACAAACAACATTATGAAAAAGCGACAAAGGATATGAACAGACACTTCTCAAAAGAAGACATTTATGAAGCCAGCAAACATATGAAAAAAAGCTCATCATCACTGGTCATTACAGAAATGCAAATCAAAACCATAATGAAATACTATCTCATGCCAGTTAGAATGGTGATTATTAAAAAGTCAGGAAACAACAGATGCTGGCAAGGCTGTGGAGAAATAGGAATACTTTTATACTGTTGGGAGTGTAAGTTAGTTCAACCATTGTGGAAGACAATATGGTTATTCCTTAAGGATCTAGAACCAGAAATACCATTTGACCCAACAGTCTCATTGAATGGTAGATACCCAAAGGATTGTAAATTTTTCTGCTATAAAGACACATGCAAACGTATGTTTATTGCAGCACTGTTCACAATAGCAAAGGCTTGGAACCAAACCAAATGCCTATCAATAATAGACTGGATAAAGAAAACGTGGCACATATACACCATGGAATACTATGCAGCCATGAAAAAAGAATGAGTTCATGTCTTGGAAGCTATCATTCTCAGAAAACTAACACAGGAACAGGCAACCAAACACCACATGTTCTCACTCATAAGAGGGACCTGAACAATGGGAGCACATGGACACAGGGAGGGGAACATCATATACTAGGACCTGTCAGGGGTTAGGGCACAAGGGGAGGAAGAGTATTAGGACAAATACCTAATGCATGTGGGGCTTAAAACCTAGATGACAGGTTGCTAGATGCAGCAAACCACCATGGTTCATGTATACCTATGTAACAAACCTGCACGTTCTGCACATGTATCCCAGAACATAAAGTATAATTTTTTAAAAAAGAAATATTGCTAAGGGCTATAGATTAGATGCCCTTTGATGTAAACATTCAAATTTCTTTTTATATAAAAAAGCAGCTATATTGAGATATAATTGAAATACAAAAAAACTGTACATATTTAACATACATGATTTTATTAGTTTGGACATATGGCTACATCCATGAAATGACCACAATCAATATATGAATATAACTATCACTCCCAAAGTTTCTTCATGCTTTTTTTAATCCCACTTTCCATCCCTTTACCCCACCATCCCCCAACTCAGATAACACTGATCTGCTTCTTGTCACTAGAGACTAGTCTGCATTTTCTAGAGTTTTATCTAAATCAGCCATGCAGTATGCATTCTTGTCAGGCTACTTTCACCCCACATTATTAAAGGAAAAAAAGAATGAAAAGCAAGCATTAGAAAAGAAGGATACTTGTAATACATATAACCAATAAGGAGGGTGGTGTTCAGAATATATATATGTAAAGAGCTCCTACAAATCAAGAAAAAAAACAAACTCAATAGGAAAAATGGGCAAATGATATGGACCAGTACTCCACAAGAAGAGAAAACACAAACATATGAAGACAGTTGTGGGGGAGTCATTCACAGAGTTCACCCCAGAACATTTGCATGGCTTATACTTTCATACCCACCATGAGTGGCCTGTTCTTTTCTTGGCTGGGAGCTAAATGAAGACCCTGTCCATAGATCAGGTGGCCATAGGGAGAATGGGTTTGATAGGGAAAGCTAGAATTTGTGCTCTGGTGGCCATGGTGGTCCTGGCCCCATACATATTCACTGTGAAGAGGAAGATGCAGCAGAACAAGATGAACACCGAATAACTAAGAAATGAATGCTTGTGCTCACTTCAGTAGCATATATACTAAAATTGGCATGATACAGACAAGATTAGCATGGCCCCATGCAAGGATGAGCAAATTCATGAAACATTGCATATTTTTAGCAATCCCACTACTGGGTATATAGCCAGAGGAATATAAATCATTCTACCATAAAGACATGCACATGAATGTTCATTGCAGCACTATTAACAGTAACAAAGACATGGAATCAATGTCTTTGCAAGATATGCATGGAATCAACCTAAATGCCCATCAGTGACACATTGGATAAAAAAATGTAGTACATATGCACCACGGAATACTATGCAGCTATAAAAAGAATGTGATCATGTCTTTTGCCAGAGCAAGGGTAGAGCTGGAGGCTATTATCCCTGGCAAACTAACACAAAAACAGAAAACCAAATACTGCATGTTCTCACTTATAAGTGGGAGCTAAAGGATGAGAACTCATGAACATAAAAGAGAGAACAACAGACACTGAGGTCTACTTGAGGGTGGAGGGTTAGAGGAGGGAGAAGGGCAGAACAAATAACTCTTGGGTACTAGGCTTCATTCCTGGGTGATGAAATAGTCTATATGACAAACCCCCATGACATGAGTTTACCTATACAACAGACCTTTACATGGACCTTCAAACCTAAGAGTTAAAAATAAATAAATAAAAGTTACAAAAATGAATAATTAGAAGTCTGTAGTCATGCCAATATGATGCCAAGATTCCAGGAGACATGTACAAAATGTCCATAGCAGCATTGTTGATAATAGCAAAACTTAAAAAAAAGACTAGAAATAACTCAAAAGTCTATCAACAGTAGAATAAATTGTGATATATTTATACAAAGGAACATTATATAGCAATGAAAATTATTGCTGCACATTTCAACATGAATTAATCTCAAAAACATAATGTTGAACAGAAAAGGCAACAAAAGGATACATGTAGAATTATTCCATTTATACAAAGTTGAAAATCATGCAAAATTAAATTGCATATTGATTAGGAAAGCAGAAACAGGTGGCAAAGCCATGGTGGAGGGAAACAAGGGGATAATTACACAACACTCAGCATGGCAATGAAAGTGGTGGCATTGAGAGAAAGGATAATATTATTGTGAAAGGACAGCAGAAGATTTCAATGTAGTGGCAATTTGGTTTTTGTTTTTGAGACAGAGTTTCACTTTTCTGCCCCAGGCTGGAGGGCAACGACTCAATCTTGGCTCACTGCCACCTCCACCTCCTGGGTTCAAGCGATTCTCCTGCCTCAGCCTCCTGAGTAGCTGAGATTACAGGAGTGCACCACTACATCTGGATAATTTTTGTATTTTTAGTAGAGAAGGGGTTTCACCATGTTGGCCATGCTGGTCTCGAACTCCTGACCTCAAGCGATCTGCCCGCCCTGGTCTCCCAAAGTGCTAGGATTACAGGTATGAGCCACTGCGCCTAGCCAGCGTTACATTTTAATCTGGTGTGAGTAGAAGGATGTCCAGTTTATTCTTCTTTATGTTTTCTGTATATATTTTATTCTTCGATTTGAATATATGATACATTACACATTTTTTTAAAAGCAATGGACAATATAATGAAAAGTAAAGAACTAAAGCTCTTGTCCTTTCCAATATGTTCAGCATACATTTTGTTTTGAATGTGCAGAGTTCTTAGGGTTATGCCTTAGCAACATGAGCAGTTAACAACCCAACTCTTATTATGTTAATAGGAACACTGTGACTAAACCACTAAATTAAAATTTCACTCCACAGACTTATTGGTACAAAATGGAATGTCTCTTCAGAGAACTACACACCTCAATTTGCTCACTTTTTTTTTCTTTTATTATATGTTGACATTAACCATTTATTATAGATAACCTACTAAATAGAATTGCCTTCCTTCTGTACAGTTCTTTGTACATTGTTTTGTCCAGGTAATCTTTATGGCTTTGATGTAAAGTCAACAAATATAGACTAATAAAAATGAGCAGTCAGAAATTTTTATCTACTTATTTATTTACTTATTCATTTACTGAGACAGAATCTCACTGTGTTGCCCATGCTATAGTGCAGTGGCTCAATCAGAGTTCACTGCAGGCTTGATCTCCCAGGCTCGAGTGATCCTCTCTCCTCAGCCTCCTGAGCAGCTAGCGCTACAGGCATGGTCACCATGCCCAGATAATCTTTTTGATTTTTAGTAGACACAAAGCCTCGCTATGCTGCCCAGGCAGGTCTCCAACTTCTGGGCTCAAGCAATCCTCCTGCCTCAGCCTCCCAAAGTGCTGGGATTACAGGTGTGAGTCACCATGCCCAGCTCAGAAAACTTGTTAAAGAACCATGTGACTTCCGCAAAAAAAGGCATATTCAGTTTTAACTTTTAAACTAGATAATACCTACTATGAGCTATTTTCACACACGTTTGTTTGTTTTTTTCAAAAATGACTGAAGCTAGTATTTGTTTTAAGTCTGCATGGTAAGTTTTCCAGTTTTTCCATAATATTTTGGATGACAAATTTCATTGCCGAGGTATCAAAAGCACTAAATTCCTCTTTGAAAGTACTTTGGAAGTCTGCATGGTAAGTTTTCCAAGTTTTTCCATAATACTTTGGATGACAGATTTCATTGCCAAGGTATCAAAAGCACTAAATTGCTTTTGGAAGTTTCATACCTGCCCTGTATCCTTTTCTCCTCGAAAAGATAATATTTCAAGCATTATCTCCCTAGTTGTTACAAAACAGCTGAACTAGCCTGCAAATTAAAGGACTACCTTGAACGTAAATTTCTGATTAGGCCCATATTAATTATATGCCCCAAAGTTTAGATGATTACACAAAAGTAATTTTCTCACATAAAAGGTTTTTGCTTTCTTTTCAAAAAATTACAAAGGCACTGTGCAAACATTACTATTCCTTTTCTCTGTTTCTAAATGTGTCTAGGTTCTTGTGTGAGGAAAGAAGACAATTAGCAAATGTAATTTTCTTATGCAGCCTCAGCTGGCTTCACATATCTCATAAATAGTTCTTATTCAAACATTCTAAAGATACATATAATTAGATAAAATTCATCCTAAGGCTGGGTGTGATGGCTCATGCCTGCAATCCCAACACTTGGAAAGCTGAAGTGGGACAATCACTTGAGGCCAGGAGTTTGAAACCAGCCTTGTCAACATAGTGAGACCCCGTCTCTACAAAAGAAAAAGAAAAGATTAGCCAGGTGTGGTGGCAAACATTTGTAGTCCCACCTACTTAGGAAGCTGAGGCTGGAAAATGGCTTGAGTTCAGGAGTTTAAGGCAGCAGTGAGCCATGATCGCATCACTGCAGTCTAGTCTTGGTGAGAGAGTAAGACTGTCTAAAAAAAACAAAATCCATTTGATCTATTTCATATTCTGAAAGATCTAACATGGAACTTTCCCCTTGTTTATACAATTTTAAAGAGTAAGTGGCTATTCCAAGTCAATAAACTGGTGGCAAATTGAAAGATATTAATGTGTAGCTAATCTGCTTTACATGACAGACTTTCCATTCGCCCCACAATGGGCCTCAGTATGCAATTTTGTTAAGTAACATTCAGGATGGTAAACCTGATTTCAAAATCTTGCAAGCATTCAAGATATTCTGCCATGAAGCCTCTAACATTATATTACATAGAAGATATTTTTTAAAATCCTACACTTAGGGGCAAGAGCATTTAACCAAGGCATTGCCTATTGCTGCAAAACTGCTGTGTATTAACCTCATGTTAAATCATTATAGAGAATGGTAGGAGGCAACACCTGAAGCTATTTTCTGAGATGAGGGACAACCAGCCCCCTTGGACATGGGTGATGAGGAACCCATGGATGCTAAAGATTTTATAGGGTTTTTTTTTTCTCCTTTTACAGGATAAAAATGAATCATTTGCCTTTAGTTATAGTTTCTAACTAATATTGTCACAAAGATAATTTCTGGTTGTGGTTTATGCAATGCAGACTTATACTATTATAATCATATCATATCTGGCTGATATTAGGTACTGGGTGACCATTTGTGAAATGGAACTCAAGGAACTGTATATATTTTTTTTGGTAAGAATCAATCCTGTTTCCCTAACAGACAGTATCTGTCATGGTCAGATGATTCACATCGATGCCTTATAAATAGCATGAATTCCTCAAAAAATGTGTCCACCGAGTCCTCCTTTCACACTAAATTCAAGATATTAGCCAAATCCTGCTAAGGTACACAGATTTGACCATCCAGAAAAGACAGATCAAGGTTCTTCAGACATCAAAACTTGTTTTGAAGAGAGAGCAACAACATAGTCTGGCTTTACAGTGGCAGATGGCTCATAACTTTGGCTTTGAATCTTGATCTTCTAAGCCAGCAGACAAGTGGAGACATAAGCGTCATACCAACTACTCCAGCACTGCATGTGGTGAGCTAGCCTTTAAGACAGGCACTAAATGAGACTTGTGATCAGTTTAAACTGGAAAGAAATTGAGATAATTACGAGACTTACTGATTCGTCAGATAATAGCAATGATGGCTGTCATTTACCAGGAGCCTACTCCACCAGGTTGTGCCAGAGATTTGCCTACATAGAATAAGCACAGCAACCATGCAAAGTGGATATTATTGGCCCCATTATACATATGAGGAAACCGAAGCTAAGAGAAGCTAACTAACTTATCTAATGTTAAGTAACTTACCAATAATTGAGACAGGATGCTTACTCAGATGCTTGAGTCTAAAGCCTGGGCTCTTTTCACCACACTATGCTACTTTGAAGAGTTAGCAATTTGTCCTCAAGGCCTCTGCCCATATTGGTGTTTAATATAGCGCCAAAACCATAAAGAAACTTGTCAATGGTACAAACAGTAGTTTATGTCCAGTCTAATGTACTAGAACAGAGTGAGAAGTTAATACTGCTTGCCATTCTTCTTGTGACCACTTCAACATTTGGTCATTTTATTTTTTTCCAGTCTATGATTAAATATATTAGCAAAGATTGACTTCTGCAGAAGGAAAACATTGAATAAATCAAATATCTCCCCCAAATCTTGAAGGTCTTGCTTCATGAAGAGTAGAACATCATGAATTGCAAATATATTTCAAACATCTTTCTCCAGGAAT